ACTGTCATAATTGGAGCTAAGTGTAGTGTTCCCCTAAGTCGGCATCCTTGGCTTCCAGCACTCCTGGATATTCAGCTTACACAGGGTTAGCATTCGCAGCACTCTGCCCTGGGTAAGGGTACGAGTTCCCTTCTTGCACCGTTGGCTGATGTGATCTCTCACTGAAGTGAGTACTCTACTAGTTGGGTCATTTTTTAAAACTTTGTTGTCCCTCTAGGACCACCTCCAGATACAGTCTCCTGAAAGAGAGCTCCCTCTAGTGTCTGTTTTGGTGAGTAAGTCTTTATGCTGAGCTTTCAGGAACAGTTTTTTCTGTTGTGGTATTCACATCCCAAGACTAGCATCAAAACTCTAAACACCAAGACAAAAAGGACAATACTGATCAAGTCACAACACAGGGTACTCTCACAGCGTGTCAGAGAAATTTGTGCAATTTAGGAAAATGGTTTGTACAAGAAAAAAACCCGTATGTGCCAAAGATTATCGTTTGGTATATTATAGCATATACAGCTCTGCTTGCATGCATCACACTCCAGAGAGGAATTATCAGTAATATCTACTCATAATATCATATCCAAATCCATATCCCTCAAAAGAGGGCTTCTAAACTCCTTAAGTGAATTCCATTCAATTCCCATATTCTGTTTTTGAAGGAGATCAAGCCATGGCAGACAGTAGAAATCTGCTTTCCATTCTACTCAGGCAGATGCTTAACAACGTATTGTTTTGATTTATGTTTACAAAGAGTGCAAAAGTGCTACTATCCAAAACCTTCTGCTTAAAAAGTTATTAATAACAGTTGCATCATCAGAAAAATGATCAGAACAGTAAACATAACCTATAAAGCCAAGAACTGAATGGCAACTGTGGTACTGAACTATTGAGCAAACTACTCCAACACAGCTGAATCATCACTTTGTTGCTCTGAATTATCCAGACAGAAGCTTAAGGTGGAGCCTGTACATCACCAATCTCCCCTCTCCACAGAAGGTAGATGCAGAGATTTTTCTTAGTATCAGCTGAGGTGAGCATCAGATCTGTAAGAGATACCTAGGAATATCCATTCTCTTGGAGGTCAGGTGATTGCGTCCCTCCACAGAACTGTGATTCACTTGTCAGTCCCTCAGCATCTCTTATGAGCCCCTCATTTCCATTCATTGCGTTTTTATACACCCCTTTTCTGTACAGTGAGGCTTTCTAGCTCAGTACATGCATTATAGACCCACAGGACTGGCAAAAATAGCAGCCTTCCTAACACTTCCTCTCACAGATCCTGCAGGTCTGGCAGAGACTCACAGCACTCCCGGCTTGCATTCACAGCTAGGCGCCTAAAGGGGATGAAGCTAGGCATTCTCCTGAAAGCCCTTACAATGGCATCCCATGGATTCTTTTGTGTTTCCTAAATGTGAAGATAGGGTTTACACCACTGCCTCCCTCAAAACTTGTTTACAAGGCTGGGCATATTACTGGCTACACATTACTGATGTGAAAACAGGAAAAAGAAAGAAGAATCTATACTGGCAAACTCAGTGGGACTGATATTTTTGTGTTGTGCATTGATAGCACTTTCTCTTGTTTGGTACATCTAACTTTAAACTCAGGCCTATGTCCACCACATCAGGCAAAATGAAAGAAGTTTTGTGAAATAGGAAAGATACGTAATTCTGTACTGGTACTCTTCCTCGTCACTCCATTCCTTTCTCCTACTGTAGAAACCTTAGTAGTAAGTAGAGTTCTAGTGCTCCTTTTTTTCACAGTGAATGTTAGCAGAATAACTTAACTGATTAAGCTAACCCTTAGACCTGTATGGCTTTCCTAGTGATTCATTTAGCTGCTCTGCAAATAAATACATCGTTCAGGAAGCAAAGATTTTCCAGTGATAGGTAAAGTAGTGCCACGCTTTTTCTCTGACTGCCAACCCCTCCCCTTTTTTTTTTAAAGAAACTAGATACATCTTGCTAAAACCATTCCCTTCTGATAATTATCACAAGTGATTTTTTTCTTTGTTCTTTCCTTGAGGCCTATAATTAATATGTTTATAAAGAGATTGCACAAGTTCTTCTTGCTTTCCGAGGAGTGTACTCCAATTATCGGAAAAAATGGATTGCAGGCTGGCTATTGGTCTTTAGTAATTACTAAATTTTCTAATAAATATTGTAGAGAAGAAGCACAAATGGGATATAAATTATTATAATTCTTACATAATTCTGAAATTGATTTCAAAATATCATTTGGAAAAAATAAAAGGGATTTGAATAGGGAAGGAAGACATCAAATTATCTGTATTTGCAGATGATATGATCTTATACCTAAAAGACCCTAAAACTCCACCAAAACATCATAAACACATTCATCAAAGTAGAAGGATATAAAATCAATATGCAAAAATCAGAAGCTTTTCTTTACACCAACAATGGACAGACTGAGAAAGGAATCAGGAAAACAATCCCATTCACAATAGACTCTAAAATATTCAGGAATAAATTTAGCACAGGAAGTGAAAGACCTCTACAATGAAAACTATAAATCACTGAAGAAACAAACTAAAGACTTCAGAGGATGGAAAGATCTCCCATGCTCATGGATTGGCAGAATCAATATTGTGAAAATTGCAATACTACCAAAAGCTATCTAATATGTTCACTGTAGTTCCCCATCAAAATTCCAATGAATCAGTCCTAAAGCTGATATGGAAACACAAAAAATCCCAATTGCCAAAGCAATCCTGAACAAAAAGAGCAATGCTTTTCAGGTATCACAATTCCTGACTTCAAACTGTTACTACACAGTAATAAAAAGAGAATGACACTGGCATAAAACAGACATGAAGACCAATGGAACAGAAGAGAAGATCCTTCCCCTCTTTCCCCTTTCCTCCCTTCCTGTCTATGTAGCCCAAGCTGGACTAGAATCATGATCTTCCTGCCTCCACCTCCCATGTGCTGGGATTACAGGTGTGAACATCATACTTAGCTCTCAAACAGAGCATTTCTACATGTGCATATAAGCACAAAAAAAGTGATCCTGAAGGATGCTCTATTATCACTTCTGTGTGCATCTTTGGGAAAGGGAGAGGGTGACAGGAGAAACATACAGAGGGAATCTTTTATCTTTGAAAATTTATGATTATATAATGTTTTCATACAATTCCATGATTGGTGTAGTCATTCAATCAAAGCCAAACATTTCTGAAACGCAAGACTTTTTAAACTCATTGATAAAAGATAGTTCTTTAAATACCAGTAGAAAGATCTTTAAACACTAAGCTGTTAACATGACAACCTCACAAGGTGACTGAGCCTGGAAAACACCACGGCTATCAGGAACACAGAATTTACTCTTTTTGTGATGAGACCATTCTGTAGAAACAGGGACATTCTTTCACTGCAGAAATGTCCTATTATCCTATTTTTTTGCCTAAATAATTTTCAGACAATTTAAAAGGGAGGGGGGAGTTAGAAATCTATATTGCATCCTTTATGTATCTGTATGTCAAGGGACTGTGCCCCTCACTAAACCTTTATTTAATACTGTCCTCAAGAACAAACTTCATGTTTGCATACCTATAGACAATTAACAGAAATGATGTGCTGTGAATGTTAAAATCAGAGGTACGCTTTTGTTACCAAGACACCAAAGACAAATTAGTTCATTTTTCACCTCGCCCAAAGGTCAACACAGCTAGCACACCATTTCTAGCCTTGTACTGAACACATTCAGAAATGAAAGGCCATAAACAGTATAGTCATACACTACTGCAAAGTTGCAATGCCAAATCCTATGGCTCAGTCCTTCCAATGAGGCAGGTCTCTCTGTGTCCTGATCCTGCCCATCATCTAGTATAAAGGAGCTATAATACCTTCTGGTAAGGTGTCATGTGAACTTCATTACAGAACTGTGCGACCTTAGAAAATCCAAAGTAGAGAGAAAGAAACAGGAAGCATCAGAGTATACTGTGTATAGATTCATAACGCACCTTCGGTGAGCCCTGTGAGCTGACAGTCACTCTGCAGCTTTTCTTACAAATGAAAAAATAACACCATGTCGATCTTTCTCATTTGAACAGCTGTGAGATCAGATGCCTGTTCTCTAAACAAGGCCTTCCACTAAAGACAACGCCTCAGCTTTAAGAACGAGCAAGGTATGTAGTGCTTACCAAGGAGAAATATGATGAGCTATGCACTCTCCACCTTTCTTGGAGTGCTGTTTAAAACGTGAATTTACTGTGAAGTCTTCCACAGCTTGTGCTTGTTATTTTACAGACCACTAAAGTAAGCACTCTTGAATGAGATGCATGATTTACGCTTTGGGAACCCTGAGGCTACAGGTCAGTTTTGGTAATATGTTCATGAAATAAATGCATTGGGTTCAAATCCAATGCATTAAAAAATGAATAACATTACAAAAAATTAAAAACAATAAATTAAATGTGATCATGTATAATATCCAAGGTAGAACCAGACGACTACCTCCCTGCAATCTATGCTGACCAAATAACATTCTCTCAAACGTGGCTTTCTTACCACTTCCACAAACTCACCATCCTGTTTATTGCTGATGATACAAAGAAAACAAATCATTTTATTTTAGTACTGTTCAAAATGTTAAAAACAGAAGAAAAATATTATGTATTATACCAAACACATATTTCAACAAGCTTCCTAAAAACAAATAAAACCCCCGAAGACCTTTATAGTTCCTGTTTCCAATGAACCTGAGTTCAAAAATCCCCTAAGAGTTTAAATCAAAGCACCATAATACAGTACCAGTTTTAGAGTCAGTTATATATTCAAAAAGAGAAACTGACTATTAATCTCTGGCAAGTATTACAAAGCCCATTTGAAAACCTTCTCTTCTTTTTACAAGATGCTTACTCAAGTTTCTGAATGTGTGATTCACGTTTATATCCTAAGCATTTTTCTTTTCATGGAAAGTCCGTATTAGTGAGCTGAGAACATCAACAGAGTAATGGCCATCTATGTGGAAATCAGAATGCATACCCAAAGCTGCTACTTTGATGATCATGGCTTGGACACTGGATGCTATCATTTCTCGGAGCAAATCTTCCTGGTTCCTCTGCCAAAGGTAAGCTAAAGGCTGGAGGTTAAGCCTTTTACACCTTTAAAATAAAAAGAATGACATGACAGCTTAACATTCCATATGGATCCACAGCAATTACTCTGATTTTAAACATAATGCTTCATTCAAAGATTTTAGCATTTAAGATGCTTTAAAATCATGTCTTGCACAGTGAAGTTTATAGATATAACAAACGTTCAGTTTCCAAGGGCTATCCATAAACGTATAAAAGTGGTATCTCCAGGCAGACCAGAAATGTGAATTTTAGTTCAGCTCTAAGTTTAGAAACCTCTGTAAGAAGCTCATGGATGATTACTTTCATTTTTAAAACTTCCATGGGTACCAAAATGGTGACGGATATACAGTGAGGAAGATAAAAGTTTTCCTAGTAACTACATATTGTTTAAATTTATAATATGTATGAACTATGAGTAATCTCTACTAACTTCAAAATATTTTTTAAGAATTTGACTGTGAGTGAAAAGAAAACAGTAGTAATAAAAATGTAATTACTTGAGGACCTAATATACTGCAGGCACTGTACTGCAGGTAAGGAAACATTGCATTTTTGGTACAGTAGAAAGAACATGGTTTCAAAGTCCAGACAAATACAGACTTGAATCTTATTCTGCAGTCTTGCTGTGATGCCTCTGACCACTTGTGGCCTTAGTTTCCTAGTTCATAAACAGGAGATGAAGCATTTGCTTTCAAAGTTCTTAGGGAGATTAAAAGAGGAGGAAAGGAAGCCCCGATTTACTCTTGTTCACATTCCACCCACCACAGTGCAGAATGATTGTTTCTCACCAGTACCATGACTGGTGTAAGCCAACAATGTCTCTCACGTAGGCATCCTAATTTCTTTCCCTGCTTCTACCCTTGCCTTAAAAAACAACAAACAAACAAACCAAAAAACCCATCCTTTATAATACAGCCAGTGTCATGAGCCTCCTCTTCAAAACTTTCCACTGCATCCCATCACTCCAGTTTAAAGTCCCCACAGGGTCTTCGATCACTGTTTTATAGTTTTCATTGTGGATGTGTCATCTTTAAATTTATTCCTAGAACAGTTTTCTGGAACTATTATACCTGGGATTGCATATTTGACTTCTCTTCAGACACCTAGCTACTGGCATGCAGCAGTGCTACTGACTTTTGTCGAGGGGTGCTTGTATGCATCCTAAGGATGTGGAAATCAGTGTGTGGAGGAGACATCTGCACCCCATGTTCCTTGAGGCACTGTCCATGATAATCAAGGAGTGGAAGGAACCCAAGTACAGAAACTGATGAACGGGAATGGAAAATACTATTCAGCTATAAAAAGAATGTCATCCTATATCCTATATTCTCTCTCCTCTCAAAGAATCCCAGTACTTTTTTTTTTTTTTGGCAGTACTGGGTTTGAAACTCAGGGCCCAGTTCTTGCTAGGCAGGTGTACTATTAACTGAGCTATGACCCAAGCCCTTTTTGCTTTTTAGCTATTTTTCAAAGAGGGTCTCACATTTTTGCTCAGGCCAGCCTAGACTGCAGTCTTTTTATTTATGCCTCTTGTGTGGCGGAGATAACAGGTGGACACCACCGTGCCCAGCTTACTGAATAAGATGGGGTCTTGCTAACTTTTGCCTGGTTTGGACTCAAACTGTGATGCTCCCAATCTCTGCTTCTTCAAGTAGCTGGGATTACAGATGTGAGCCACCATGCCTGGCTCAAATAGTTATTAACATATCATACATTTTGGACATTTACTCATAAATAGCATGAAAATTTCATATTTTTCATATACATACACAAAGAAAATACAAACCTTCCTGCAGAGACTTTTGGGTGATTCTCTTCTTTAAAATGTCTCAGAACATCTGAAGCAATGGTGGGGCAGTTAATAAATACATAAATAATAAAATTTAAGCCACCCATGTAGTTTCATGTTACTCATGTTTGCTGGCCTCTCACCAGTGTTTTAATGCCTACTAATCAAACTAGGCTCTCTACCTTTTTTAGTTAAGATAAAAATAAATGAAAAAAGACTTTCAGTCTTTATTATAAAATTCTTGGATACTGTTTAAAAAAAATTTTTTTTACTGTTTTTAAACTTAGGTCAAACTTCTTAACCTATTTAACTTCTTCAGCAGGTCAAAATATCATGACTCAAAGTTCTCTTGTAAATCACTGTTGAATTTGAGCTTGTGAGATATTATGTAACACTTTATATTTTGAAAATACAATGATGCAACACTGGCAATAAATAAATTGAAAGTACAAAGCAGCAGATTCTCACTGACACATTACAAATTGCAATGATGAAAGTATTGCAGGTATGCTTCAATATATAGTCCAGTCATCATATTGCACGTATTGAAGTGTACCTGAGATTGCTTTGATAGTTTTGCCTTCTTACTATGGGTGTGACATGACCACTTGTGTGTGTGTGTGTGTGTGTGTGTGTGCCTCCTAATCAAGAGCACATTTTCATTTGGCTTTTTAACTTTCATAAGTAGATGTCAGCCTCATTTCCAGTTTGGCTGATCATTAAACCATGTGTGTTTGAACTTAGTAATAAACATCAATTTGTAAACTAATGATCAGAGAATATGTCCTAAGACTGAATAATAAGTAATAAATAATATTACTTCTAACTCATGGTTTAAGGGATATACAATCCAGCTCTATCTCTAAGTCAGTTCTCAAATATAGATATATCTATGTTTTATAGATATAAAATATCAGAAAAATATTCTCAAAATGCTTGAAGATGCTCAACCTCCTCTTTCACCTCTACCTTTCGTTGCCCAGATTTTTGATATACACCTAAAATGTGAGATCATCATATTTCCCTTCACTTAACTATGCTTTACTGTGTTTTCCCTTCATTTACTTTTAATATTCTGTATTCTTTTTTTGTAAATGCCTTAAATCCACTGTAGAATTAGGAAGAAATTAAAAAGTCCATTAGTATGCATACTTTTAGTGAGACAGTCAATATGAATGTTTTTGTCAAAAATGTAAAACTATTGCATAGTCTTAAGATAAGTTTTAAGCCTTATCGTACTTCCATTGATCCCTTCTGAATAACAAAATGATTTGTTCCGAGGTTAAGTTTTACTCAAGACAAGCACCTGAGTCCACATTTTCTCTTTTGCTGATACACTTATGCATAAAGTTTCTGTATAATATTTTGTTCATGCAAATAAATTAAAACTGGAAAACAAGTTCATTTAAGTTGTATTTTGCCAACCCAACATTAAATAATCAGTACTATCACTCAATCTTGTAATTTTGAGTAGATCAATGGAACACACAGACTAAAGTGTTTTATTAGTGATACTTCCCTTCAGAGAGCAGCAATCTAAAAACTTACTGAAAGTAGGATGGCTTAACAAAAAGTTTAAAGTGGTTTTTGACTAAGCACTGAATGCTATGGACTAAAGAGGAAAAGATTCTTTAACAAGCATTTCTCTTTAAAATATTATTGTATTTCTTTTTATTTGCTCCTGACTTGTATGAGTTAATGACCATGAATTAAAAGAGATTAAAAGGGTATAGAAATCAAAGTAGGAAAAACTGAGGATAGTATTTACCATTTTTAAAATCTTTGTTGTGGGGATGAGGATTAGTGGAGTGTTTGCTTAGCATGTTAGGCCCTGGGTTTGATTACCAGCACCACACAAAGAAAAAAATCTTTGTATAAAATTTTTCCTTACAGTAACTTAAAAGTTTTCTTGTGTGTGACATAAGGACAGAAAAAAGTAAAACTATGGCATCTGTTAGGCAAATATGTACACTTAGACTCACCGGGCATGCACAGCGCATCTTCTTACAATTCGGGAACAATTACTTACTTGTCACTCACTTTTTTTGGGGGTATGAGGGACTGAACCCAGGGCCATGCACATATTCTACCACTGAGCTAAACTCCTAACTTCTTATTTGCATACTTTAAAAATCCAGGGCAAATTAATGTTTTCTTACACATTTTCTACTCGATCACGTTGATAATCAGAAAGTATGGCACCCACTGATATCCCTTCTATGTCTTCTTTTTCCTGTAAACAAAGGAAATACACCACTTAAAAATAAAACACAGGGGTCTGCATCAAGCTCACAAATGAACTGTATCTCATCTAAGAAACCACATTTGAAGCCAAGTAATTCCTAAAAACACAACCCACATTCAGAAAAATTTCTATACGTATATTTCAATCATCCCCTTAATTGTAGAAAAAAGTATTCTTTTACTTGAAGATTAAATAACTTGAGACCCCTTTCCATGGAGAAAACAAAGACTTAGGAGGCATTTCCAAATTTACTCTTATATACTTAAAGACAGTGGAGTTCAATGGAAATTTCCATTTCAGGACCATATTTCCCTAGATTGAGTATTTTTTAATTAAGCAATAGCAAAAACAGGTAAGGCAAAACATTGTTTTTTAATCTGTATCTTTGAAACAGATGACTGCCATTGGAGCATCCAGAATACAGAGATGGAAGAGGCATTGCCTGGACAGCACAGTGGATAAAGAATTCTATCCTGGGAAGGAACTGAGGAATTACTGTCAATACAGTTACAAGCGAGAACATCCCACAGGAACAAGGACTCTTCTGTCCAGCATACTCATTAATGAGCTGAAGAGAATGTAAACTCAAGTATGATCACTTTTGCAGAATGCACAAAGTGAGGATGGATTAAAAACAAAAGAAGATCAATCAAGTACATGAATGGATATGGACAACTTGGGGATTTGGAAGGACAGGTCTAAGATGAGATTTAATGTAAAGAAGTATAAGGTAACACACTTAGGGAAGAATCATTTGTAATATGGGCATACTCCAGGGACTGCTGTCTATAAAACAGAGATGAAGAAAGTGACTAGGGGGTAATTACTAATAACAAACTGAATGAGTAGATGTAAAAGAAAATCCATCTAGCATAGGGACATATGGGAGAAACCACTTCAGAGAGATGCCTTTGTTATTCACACTTTAGTCTTACCAAGCACTGAAAAAAAGTCATATTTCCAGACACACATACCGAAATAAACCTGTATGTCCTAAAAGGATGTCACAATAAATAAACGAAAATGCACAATGGGAATTCCTGATGCCTTTGGAGATAAAGTCAATTAACTCTACCCTCCAAAATGATAGAGAAATATCTGCCCCAAAAGCCCCCAAACAAAATGATTATTTCTATCAGATAAGGTTTCAGGAAAAGATCTATTTCCTTTATTTTCCTATTTCAGCAACTTTGTAACAATACTTGCTTACATCCTTTGTCTAACCTTCCTAGCTATTTTCTTTTCATAAAAATCACTGTAGTCATAGAAGTCAAGGCAAAGTGCTCCTAACTAAGCGCAAATATATCACAGACAATATAATGGAGTTATCAAAAGATTGGCATTTTAACTGTATACATGTATCATACATTCATTTATCTGAAGTTCTTTACTGAATATGAAGTACTGAACATCTATAGGGATGCATATGGATGTATGTGTATTTCTCTCCAAGTCAAGACAAAGACAAGAGCCACTGGTATTTTTAATCTAAACTATCAATCCATTGTTAAAATAATAATGAGGTTTATTATCTATTACTATGCACTAACACACTATTATTCTCACTTAATGCTCACTACAACCCTAAAATAATGAACTCATTTCTTCTTAGTATACATGCCCTCACTGGAATTCTCTTCACTTCAATCACTTTTATTTTTATTTGATAACACCTAGTTAATCAGCCCTAGAATTATATCTAGCTGAACTCTATAAACATTAGCTGTTTTTTTCAACAATCTTAATTACTACTGCTCAGTAGAAAGGTAGCCTATCATCTACCAACTCTGTGCTTTTGAATAAATTGCTGAATTTCTCTTAGTTTCCTCATCTGTAAAGGAAGGGCAGTAATAATCTCTGATTTCTAGGGTTAATGGAGTTAAAGTGAAGATTAAAGTGATCTGGGTAGAAACACAGTATCTAGCATCTACTAAGCACTCAGTAAATATTTTCTTCTTTTATTGTCAGAACCTTCTTTATTATTCTACTATTTCCATAACTACTCTCATTACTACTTACTGCTACTACTACTAGTGGACAGAAGCCTAACCCTTTCATTTCAGGAAAAAAAAGCCTTCATTCTACTGCTCCTTATCACAAGGGGGGTATCCTACTAACCCCCTTGATACTCAACTCTGTAGCCTACTTGCAAGAAACTTTTCCAACATACTGAGCCCTAAAATTCTAGGGATAGTGAATCTAATCATTTTGAGCCTACTACAATCTCAGAAGAAAGGCAAAACAGATCCTTAAAAGATAAAGATCACATAGTCAATCTTCTTTATTGAAAAGACATAGCTAGACTTAATCTCTAATCCACAACCACAATCATTTGGGCAAATAGTCACTTAAAAACAGGCAAAATGACAGGAATGGATGGGTCAGCAGAAGAAAAGGGGAATGGCTACTAGACTGAAAGACATCACCCTCATGCACTATACAGATGTAGCTAAACAAATACCATAGCTGAAATGAAAGCGAGTGTGCTACAGAAAACAGATGATATAGACTCTGGGATCCAGATGTTTGGCCACACTGAAACAAACCTTTCATGATCTAATTCTATTTTCATTAAACACCCAGACATAATTTGGGTTGCCTTGTTCCTTTCTATCCCAAAAGGGTTATGGTAGTTTACCAATACGAGCATTCTCATTTGCTTAACACCAATGATCTAAGTAACAGATTGTTTGCACTGTGCTTTATCCATTACCAGTTCGAGTGTATTAGTCTGTTGTAGGAACACTGATAATTTTTGGTATGCTACAGCTTAGAGGGCTACCAGTGTTCCACAAAGTTATATTGCAAACTTAAAACTTAATCAGCCATATAAACTCCTCCAACAAAAACAGTGATTTCTGTATCACCATTCTTTAACTGTTCCAATAATAATAAAGCATACAAACATTTTTCTATATCCATGCTATGAACCACTTTTATACATAAGATTACTTCTACTATTGAGGTTAGGCTCTAAAAATTTTAAAGAAACTAACAAGAAAGCAAAAACCTGAGGAAAATTTCACAGAGGAGTTGACTGTGGGGTCAACCTTCAAAGACCTACTTGATTACTGTGTTGAGAAAGAAAAGAAAGACTGTAGGGAGCAATCCAGAGTGAAGAATATGAGCCCAGGCAACAGCATAATGACCTCTGAATATAAGAGGATGGTCAGCAGTGTAGCGTAGCTGGAGCCAAAGGCACACATCACTAAATAAAAGGAAAAGTTGGTATAAGATAGCTTGGGCATATGGCCAGCATCCTGGAGGCAACTGAGAGCACAATGCTATAGGATCTGTACTATCATCTCATAATGAGGTATGATAAACTACATTCACATAAAGCACGTAATTCAGTGGGGTCTGAAAAATGCATACACCAGTAATATTGGCACCAAAATCAAATTACAGATCATTCTGATTACTACCAAAATTCCTTGTGGAGGTGAATGCATGCCTCTGTTGTACAGTGTATGTGAAGTGAATCTCTGGGTTCAACACCAAGAAGGAGAGGAAGGATGGAAAGGAAGAAGGAAGGGAGGAAGGAATAAAAGAAAGGAGGCAGGAAAGAAGATTCCTTATGTTCCTTTGCTCTTAGTTTCAGGCAGCTACTAATCTTCTGGATGCCATTATAAATTAGTTTTCATTTCTCTTGATATCATATAAATGCTATTAAGCAATTTGTATTCTTTTGTTTTTGTGCTCTCTCACTCAACTTTGAGATTCATCCATGTTGTAGGTGCATTCATAGTTCATTCGTTTTCATCTATTGTGTAGATAAGATACACATTTTATTTATCCATTCATCTGTTGGTGGACATCAGTGTTTTGACTTTGGGTCCTTATGAATAAAGCTTTCCTTCTTGTATGACTGTGTGAATATGTTTTCATTTCTTTTGGGTCACTATAGGATTTTGAGAAGTGAGAAATGATCATATTTACATAAAGAAAGATAAATCTTGTGACAGTCAGTGTGAAGGATAAGAGTAGAGTACTAGACTGACAAAGGAAATGAGACACATCTTAAAAGGAATCACTGCACTTATCTAGCTTGGTTACGAGGTTTCTGTTTTAGTTGTCTCAAGACTGCTATGTAAAATACCATAGACTTATTTTCTCACATTTGTGGAGGCTAGAAGTTCAAGTTCAAGGTGTTAACATTGTCAGGTTCTCATGAGAACTCTCTTCCTGCCTTACAGATGGCAGACTTGTGCTCTCACTATGTATACACATGATTCAGGGAGCCTGGGGTGGGGTGGGGGAGGGAAGAGGGAAGGGGAAGAGGAGAGATAGAGGGGAGAGAGAGGAGAGAGGACAGAGAGAGAAGAGAGGAGGGGAAGACAGAGAAAGGAGAGAGAGAGAGAAAGAGACAAATAGAGCAAGAGAGTGAGAGAGAGAGAGAGATTGTTCTCTAGTAAGGGCAGTTAACCTTATCTTGGACCTCATCTAAACCTAATTATCTCCCAAGGCCTCATCTCCAAATACACTAACACTGGAAGTTTGGAATTCAACATATAATTTTTGTGGGAACACAATTCAGTTCACAGCACTATTCCCAGTACATAAAACTATCAGATACATTAAATACAACTCTGGTACTCCAGAAAATAAAGAAAAATATGTGGATGTTGTCAGCATGTATTTGAAGTGACAGGAGACAAGAACTTCAAGAAACAGGACATAGGGTAAGAAGAAGAGTGGTTTACCCTGGGGATACACCAAAATGTAAAGAGAAGAAAGATTCAGCAAAGACATTGAAAAAAGAGTGGTTGTAACAACAGAAAATGCAACCATGATAAGGTAATATTATGTACAAATACACAGATAATTTTGATGAAAAGGTAAGAACAGAGTAACAATATTACCAAGTATCTAGTATGACCCAACATTTATGTTAGATACTTTACATATCTTATCTCAGTTATTCATTATAATAACCCAAAAATATTAAATTGGTTTTGTACATTAAAAAAATTACAATGATTGACCCA